AAAAAAAAAAAAAAAGATCTTGGGTATGCACACACACGCACCCGGTGTGAGTTTAAGCTACCAAGTCCAGGACTCAAACTACGGTCGACTACATTGGAGTCCAGTGACGTATCCATTACACTGTCTGCTGGTCTCCAATGATAACAGTTTTAATCTGGAATACTTCTTAAAACTCATTTGATGCGATGGGTTTCAAAACCTAAATATATATACAGTAGGATGTTTCTAAGTTAGTTTATTTTTTAAGTTTAAACATTATGAAATATTTTAAGAATACAAAAAAAAAAGGATATAACAAACATCTATATTCCCACAACTCAATATGGTCAAATCTTAACATTTTGCTATATTGGATTTATGTTTTTCTCTAAAGAAATAAAACATTATGAGTGAAACTGGAAATCAAAAACAAAATATGATGTATCTAAGGCATTTAGCACTCTGCCCAGCATTTTTTATTTTGAAATAATTTTTTATTTACAGCAGACTTAAAAAGATAGCAGAGACATTTCTTATATATCCTTCACCCAACTTTTCCTGATGTTACCTTATTTGTTTTTATTTTTGACAGAGAGACATGCACTTGCCAGAAAGACAGACAGAGAGAGAGAGAGAAAGAGAGAGAGAGAGAGCAGCAGCCACCCACCATAGAAAATAGTCACACCACAATCTGTTCTTCTCCATCTTACCCTCCTTTTAGAATTTTGGGTACACACACACATGTTTCTCAAGCTGCTGGGTGTGAGACTTGAACCACACAATCAGCTATGTGGGATCCAGCAACCTTAACCACTATGCATGGGCTGACTTGATATTACCTCATATAACCATGCTACATATATCAAACAAAGAAATGAACATTGGTAGAACACTGTTAACTAAACCCCAAACTATTCTGATTTCACTAGTTTTTCCATGTATGTCCTTTTTCTCTCCCACATTCTAATTCAGTATACCATGTTGAATTTAGGTCAGTTCATTTTAATCATTTATTCATAACGTTTTAGTCTAAAACTGGGGGCTTGTGTACCAGGAGCCCCTGAAGCACGAATCACAGCTATTGTTTTGAGAACTTACCATACATCAAGCAAAGCCCTTTTTACGTGCCCCATTCAATTCTAACAGCAATTCTCTCTGGTGGCCATTATAGATCCTGTGTCATAGCTGAGGAAACTGAGCTATGGAGAGACTAACAGAGGGCACCCATCCAGTAAGGGAGAGAGGGTTTGCACCTCAGGAGTCTGGCTCCGAAGTCATGCTCTCAACAGTACACCACTCCTCCTTTCACAAGGCTACTCCAGAAAAGAGTGAGAGTGGACACATTGTCAGACTTTCCCTGGGAAGCACAGCAGGCAGGGAGGCTTCCTGGGGGTGGTGCCACTCTGGAGATCAGCCTAAGTTTCCTCAGAAGCTTGGGAAATGTTTGGTTTTTCTGTCACCTGCCTCCTCCTGGCTTTCCTCCCTTCTTCCCCTCAGCCCCAGATTCTGATGCCAGCTGTGAAACCCCAAGAAGGTGACCTGCAGAAACCCAAGCCCCAGACCCATAGTACAACTCTGTCCCAACCTCTGGGCACTGCACCCCAGGCGGTAGGGCAGGCTGCCCACACTCATAGACTGGGATGATGATTTAGAGACTGGCTTCTGGAGCCACTATTTTGGGTCTCGCTGACAGTGCATGAGCAAGAAATAGCAACAAGGGCTGAGTCGTCAGAAGAAGGGGGGAATCCAAGAGAATTAGGGGTGGTCAGAGTGGCTACTGAGCTGGGACCAGCTTTGTCTGCTCTGGAGAATTACAGGTGCCACCAACCCAAGGGTGAACTGAGAACAGCTTTCCATCCCTAGGCTAGGGCTGGACCCTGCGACATCTGCCATCCTCCAGCTAGGCCACACAAGGCGACTGCAGGAAGTTTATGGGAAAATGGAATTAAAGTGTAAGTCTATTTTGGTGTGAAAATTTGGAAATCTATGTGTAGTTTTCTCACAACATGCCTTTTCCAAGAGCTTTCTGAAGTTCGCTTGTGTGTCCTCTCTGGAGGATACCTCTGGCAAAGGCCAGAGAGCTCCTGAGGTAGACCGCAGCCAGCTGGGATCGGGGGCGAGTGCTGCAGGGAGGTGAGTGGAGGAGCTGGTTGTGCAGTACCTGCCCTTGAGCCAGAGTCCAGAGATCCTGGATCCAGGAGGTAGCATTCCAGCCCCAGCTCATCTTCTCCGAGCCTCAGTTTGTTCATCTGTAAAGTAGGGATAGGAATACCTCCCAGGCAAGATGGTATACGTTGTGCAGCTTGCGCATTGCAGAAAGGGTGATGGGACCTAACACAGACAGGAGTCAGCTCGCTGAGCTGGGCATCTTGAATTGGAGCTGTGTGCACGGGGGAAGAAGACACGTTTTCCTTTATCAAGCTGTTTGCCCAGGGGTGCTTCTGCCTGAACATTTGGTTTTCTGAGAGGGGGCACCTTTTGCAACTTTGCACAGAGGTAAAAACATTTGCCCTCTGGAAATAGAACAGATGGTGAAGGACAAATATCCCATAAGCCCCAGAGCCTTGTTGGGGAGTGAGGAGAGGGTCAAAGATAGTTCAAGAGGGACAAGATATACTGGGAAGAAGGTGTCAGGGTGAGCCAAATGGTAAGATACTGAACACAAAGGAGCTGGGAAGAGAGGGGGTACTGCCTTAGTAGCCCTAGTCCTGGGCCCCACAGAGATTCACTCTCTTAGAGGCCTCTGTAGAGAGGGCCAAGTGGCAGTGGGGCCAACCTGTAGCTACTAGCCCATAGACCCATGGAGTGTATCTGAGGGTAGAGTCATAGCCAAAGGGTGTGGGAACCATGGGGACTTTGACCCTAGGGAAGCCCTGGCCAGAGATGGCCAATGGAAAGAATAATAAGGCACCAGGCAATTATAATCCAGCCTATGACATCATAAGGGGTGACGGGCAATCTGGTAACCTCAGAAGGGGCACCTCTCCCAGGCTTGAAGGACCCAGCTGGGCTTCCCATAAGAGACATCTAAATTGAGACCTCACGAAGAAGCTGGAATTAGCCCAGTGAAAGGGGCCGAGCGGGAGCATTCAGGTGGTGCTATCTGAAGCCTGCACCAGAGGTTAGAGGGTGAGGTGTATCCTGGGAACCGCAAGTGGTCTTAACCTTTCTTCCATGGCCCATATGTAAGGAACAGAATGATGACATAGCGGGTGATATGGGAAGGTCTCGGGTGACACCAAGTTCACCTGAGTCTTGAGTTCGAGTGCAGTATTCGAATAGAGGTGGCCAGTGGGATGCAGAGGTTTTGAGCTCAGGAAAGAGAGTTGGGCTGGCCATATCCACCTCTGAGTCTTCAACCTTAGAGGCTTTGGGAACAAGAGGACCCCTCCAGGAGAGCAGGGGCACTGAAGGAAAGAAGAATCCTGAGAAACCTTAACATTTAGAGGTCAGCCAGAAGAGACAAGTGCTAAATATGAGCCCCTAGAGAGGTGGCAGGAGAGCCACCATTCAGTCCTCATAGTATCATGGGTGTGTACCATTTACAGGCAAAGAACCTGGGGTGGGGGCTTTCTACATTGATTTACTTGCACATGAGAACTAGGAAACTCAGAGCTAAAGTTTTGTCCCGTCATGTAACTGTCCATCTAGGACTTCTGGTATGTCACCTCCTCAACCCCTATCCTCCTGTTTAATCCTGTTTTTTAGGTGTCTGTAATCCCCGCCCCCTTAATTATGATAGAACACATGTACATGCATAAAAAGAGAGAGAATGAGCACCCTCCACAGGGTCTGGTCACACTGCAGTCCCCTTCCTCTTGTCCTCCAACCCGTTGCATCCTGGGCACTCATGCACATGCCTGACATGCTTCAGACTGACGGGGCCAGGGATGTGAACTATGGCTGCCATGTGGGATATGGCTTCTCTTGAGCAGCACGTTAGCAGTGCTATGGAGCTGTCCCACGTGTCTCCACGTGTCTGTAATTTTTTTTTTTGAGAGATTTTCACTGTAGGGCGCGTGCGCTCGCCAGACAGACAGAGAGAGACATAGAGACAGAAAGCGAGAAATCACCCCCCAGGGGAGATGGTCACGCCGCAATCTCTTCTCCTCCAGTCTCCTCTCGGGATCTTGGGCACGCACACACACGCGCCTGGCGTGAGTTTTAAGCCACCGGGTCTGGGACACGAACCACGGTCGACTACGTGGGAGTCCAGCGACATAGCCATTACGCTAACTGCTGGTTCCCGTGTCTGTAATTTTAAGTAGTTTTTTTTTTTGAAATAGAATGTAAATAAAAGGTCTGACTGATGCTAGATGTTTTTTGTGCACAGTGAGGTTCGATAGTCAGCATAGATGACCCCTTCTCCTGTGGATAGGGTGGGCATGGAGAAGATTTGACCCGTTGAGCTTTAGTCTTTATCAATGGACAGCCTGACTCTTGGGTGAGGGAATGAGGAAGACAGGATATGGAAGAGGTCATCTAATCCTAGATACTCGTACCCCAACTCCTGTCTCTTGCTCCCAACAGATATTACTAGTGCTTCCCTGCCTGTCCTTCCTCATTTAACCCTGGCATGGACTCAGACTCCTTCCTTCTCTAGGCTGCCATCATGTTGCGTGAGGGTTGGCAAGCCATCCGGAACCTCATGGTCATCCTGAGAGCAGCCTTCACGTCACAAACCACCAGAAGATCTGTCTTTATTATGATGAACCTTTTATTATAGAGACAGACCGAACTCTCTTTTGCATAAAGAATCTCTGGATTGGGTCGGGGAACTCCACTTGCTAAAGGTCGCCACCCAGCCATCCCTGCCTCTGCATCCGCTCAGCCCCCACTTGCGGTTCATATCTCAGAGTCACTGGAAACAGCAGAGGCTGCCGTCCCCGGGCCAGGTTGGTGGGTTGGGACATCTGGATGGAGGTCAAGGCTCCTGGCTGCCTGCCAGGTCAGAGCCGCCCTGTCTCCCGCCCCAGTCGGTTGTCCAGAACCTGGAGCTGCCGGAGGAAGCCTGAGTTGGGGCAGATATTTCGGTGGGCCTGCACCGTCTGGATGGCCTCCACCAGGGTCATGTTCTCGCAGATCATAAGGAAGGCCAGGACAAGCGTGGCAGAGCGGCTTACCCCCATGGCACAGTGGACCAGCACGCGGCCTGTGGGGAGACCCAATGCTGTATCAGGCACCTGTCTTTGGACCACTCATTCCTTTGGGAAGAAGTGACATCTCTGGCCATTCTTCAGCCCACCCTTCACAGTGTCCTAGAATACTGACATTGGCCTCGCCGACAAATGAGACAACAGAGGCCCAGAGACGGAGGAATTGGCTCAAGGTCACATAGTGACTTAGTACAGTTCGATTCCCTTCTTCTGGCCCTGGGTGCTTCCTTTGGGCAGGGAGTGGGGGTCCTGAACTTCTGGAGCTCCAGCTATGTATCAGATAATAGGGGTATCCACCTCCCTCCCTTTCTCTCCAGTTCTACCCTCTCCCCTGCCCATGCAGCCCTATGCCAAGGCTTTATCTAGAGGAGCTTCTCAAGAGCCTTTGAAGGTCACGTGCGTTCTTCTGCCCAGCACACTTACTGAGCGCTCTGGCTAAGCGGATGACCATGCTGGACCTCAGCCTGTGATTGTTAGTTCCCAAGGTGTCCCTGAAGGGGATGTCACCGAATGGGAGTAGTTATTAAACCCGTGGGGTGGGAGGACTGCTGAAGGGGTTCATAGCTCCATACTCCCCACCCACTGGCACTGCCAGAACAATGGAGTGCCCTGGAGCACACCCTGTCCCCTTTGCTCATGCCTTCCCCAGCAGCTCACCTTGGGGAACACTGAGGGCAGCTCGGATATATCGAGCCACAGGCAGAAAGTAGACACTGAGGTCAAAGAAGGGATTGTCGTCCGCCTCGATGCCATAGTAATCCAAGGTCATTCCGCGGTAGAACTTGGCACCTGTGTCCACCTGAAATTTGCCTGCAGCGGCGTTCACAATGTGGGTGATGCCCAGCTGGATCAGCTTGCCCTTGTCCCGGGCTGCATACCTGCAGGAGAGGGACGGGGTGAGCGGGATGGGGTGGATCTCACTGGGTCAGCTCTGGTGGGTTAGAGCTTGTCCCTCACCTCGTCCATCCTCTTCCAAGGGCAGAGACTAGAGTGGGGGGGCTTCTTTAAGGAGAATTTAAGTTGCCTTTTTTACTCAGGCCAGCTTTTCTGAAGGGCAGTTCGGCTACAAGCATCAAATATCTGAAAATGTTTGTATCCTTTACCCCAGCAATCCTCCTTCCGGGGGCTTAATTAAAGGAAGAATCTGGAATGTACCCAGAGACATAGGTAAACTGAATATAGTGAAATTTAAGATAGTGAAAAGTGGGGGAAGACACCAGTAAATATCCTATGATTGAGTAAGGCATAAATGAAGAAGTACTGAGCAGCCACTAAAGGATGGGAGGCCCACATGAGCAAGGAAAGCTGGTCATGCCATGAGAGCCCATGAGAAATGCAGAATATGGAACCAGCAGTTAGCGTAATGGCTATGTCGCTGAACTCCCATGTAGTCGACCGTGGTTCGTGTCCCGGACCTGGTGGCTTAAAACTCATGCCAGGCACGTGTGCATGTGTGCCCAAGATCCCGAGAAGAGAACGGAGGAAAAGGGATTGCGGCATTGCCACCCCCCCCCGGGGGGGGTGGGTGATTTCTTGCTTTCTGTCTCTCTGTCTCTCTCTGTCTGTCTGGCGAGTGCATGCGCCGTATAGCAAAAACCTCTCCAAAAAGAGAAAAAATGAAATGCAGAATACAAACAGAATGGTATTAAAAAGTTTTAAAATTATACTGTGATTCTATTAAAATAGCTTTCTAGGGACCAGCAGGTGGCATGGTGGTTAAGGGTGTTGGACTCCCACATTGCCAACTGCGATTCGAGTCCCAGATCTAGTGGCTTGCTTTCTCAGTTTCTCTCTCTCTACTCTGTCCCTCTCTGGTCAAATTAAAGAAATAAAGTGATACCATTTTCATAAATAAAATATTGATAATTATTTTAAAATGCATATGTATGGGGACCAGCAGTTAGCATAATGGCTATGTCGCTGGACTCTCATGTAGTCGACCACAGTTCGAGTCCCAGACCTGGTGGCTTAAACTCATGCCAGGCACGTGTGCGTGCGTGCCCAAGATCCCGAGAGGAGAATGGAGGAGAAGGGATTGCGGTGTGGCCATCCCCCTGGGGGGTGATTTCTCGCTTTCTATCTCTCTGTCTCTCTCTGTCTTTCTGGCAAACACATGCACCCTGTAGCAAAAACCTCTCTAAAAATTTTTTAATTAAAAAATTAATAAAAAATAAAAATGCATGTGTATGTATATATGCATTTTTAAAGTCTATAAGAATTTTATTACTAGTTATCTGTGAGGCAGAGGGATTAACATATTTGTCATCATTAACAAGACATTAATCTGTATTTTATAAACATTAAGGAAAAGTTCTCAAACCCAATATGTGGACCATATATTGGTCCATATATTTTTAAAATTTTATTTCTTTTTAAACATTTATTTATTTATTTGTCTATTTATTTGTTGTGATTTTCAAGCTGTGGGGTCCAGAACTCAAACCACGGTCTGCCATGTGAGAATCCAGGGCCTTAACCACCACACCACCTGCTGGTCCTGGTTCAAATTTTCTAAAATTTAAGCAAACCAAGAGGCATCATGGTAAAGGTGCTGGACTCCCACATGACAGACTGTGGTTCTAGTCCTGGACCTGTGGCTGGCTTCCTCTCTCTCTCTCTCTGGGTCTCTCTCTGGTGAACACACATGCCCTATAACAAACTTAAAAGTAATAAGAATAGGGGCCAGCAGGTGGTGTAGTGGTTAAAAGCACTGGATTCCCACATGGCCAACCCTGGTTCAAGTCCCAGGCCTGGTGGCTTGCTTTCTCACTTTCCCTTTTACTCTCTCTCTGTCTCTCTCTGGTCAAGTTGAAAAATAATAATTATAACAAATGGAATTAAATACATAAATAAATATTGTTAAAATAATAATAAATGAATAAATATAAATAAATAAATAAAATTTAAAAAAATAAAACCTTAAGGGAAAATGACTCAAAATTTCACTCTCTCCCTCTAAATATAGAACCTAGGGAAGTAAAAATAAATAAATAAATAAATAAATAAATAAAATACACACACACACACATCTATAAGACCTATCTTGTGTGTTCCCATGATACATGTATTAAAATATTCATAGGATCACTCTTCATAATAGCCACATAATTCAAATGTCCACATATAATAGGACAGATAAACTGATGTAATCATTCATGGAATATTATCCAGCAGTGCAGAATGACAAATAGCAGCTACATGTGGTATGCACGACTCTCACGATTTTGAGCACATGATACCAGGCTTGGAGCACACACAATATGATTTCCATGTGGACCTCACACCCTCTGTCACCCCTGCTCCTTGTGGGTCTCACTCACGCATCTCCTAGGAAGAGGTTGGGCCAGACCTCGTTGATGTGATTCAGTGTGGCGGCCCGACGGACCCACAGCAAGCGCTGCAGCGAGGCCAGTGTGGGCGGCTGGTAGGTGGACACCCGGACTGCCCCATGGATCTTGGGCCTCCGGAGATCTTGCTTCTGCAGCGAGTCCATCCTGAAACAGAGGGGACGCCACAGTGGCCGGAGGCAGGGCTCCCAAGTGCAGTCCATGGTGCAGTGCCCAGGAGCCACTGGGATGCTGGAGGGCCTCAGCTATTAATACTTCGGATGAGGTTATTAGTTGGCTCAGCTGGGGCTGAGGCCTAGAGCCTTTCCCACAAGAAATAAGGGAATTAACCCCTAATCACCATGTGGAGCTGGGCAACCTTCTCTCCTGCTCTCTCCGAGGCTATGGATCTGGAAGCTATGGCCACGGGCCCTTGGAGTTCCATATTCATGGCACTCGTCATTTCAGGTCTTACATCCCTGGTCAGCTGTGGGGATGGAAACCCCAGATGGCTGTGGCCTTCAGAGGGCGCACAGGAAGGCCTCCCAACCTGGGCAGCTCGTCTCAAGTCTCCTCCCCTGCTACTTCCAGGGCTGGTCCTCAGGACCCATCCGCTCCCAGTGCCAGGTTTTTGGAGATGAGAGCCCTTCTCCAGAGTGATGCACAGGGCTGTGAACTGGCATCAGCGTTTCCGCACTGAAGGAGCTAACGCCTCTTAAACCCTCCATGTCTTGCTTGTGGTAGGTCCCTGTTGCCCACAGGAGGGAGCAGACATTCAGAATATTTTTAAGGGATGCCCAAAGCCATGTAGCTGATGAGTAAGTAGCAAGGCTGGGGTTTCGATGCAGTTATGTGCTCCTTCAGTTCCGTCCCCAGGCCTTCCGGCTAGTATGTCTGGGGACTCTAGAGAGTGGTCACCAACCCCTCTGGGTCCTCTAGGGAGCCTGGCATGGCTGGGCTGTACATCTGCTTACAGGCCCCCAGTTTTTCCTCCTTACCCCCATGACTCAGGCCAGTGCGGCTCGTCGGGCCTCACCCAGGTGGGGTGGGTTTTGTCAGGAGGCAGCTGGCTGAAGGTGTCCGGGACCCTGCAGAGCCGGGGCGCCAGCGGCACCAGAACCTGGGTCTGTTGCCGTGATGGGAAGGAGAGCCTGTCATGGCTAGCGGTTCCTGATGGCCTCAGCCAGGAACTAGGGAAAGTACATACTGGGAAGAACATCTTTCCTTTTTGGTAGGCAGTGCCAGGACCAGAAAGAGAAACGGGCACCCAGGAAGCCACTGGCTTTGGCCAGCCCCCCCCAGGCTCACCCAGTGGGTGGCTGGTGGGCAGGGCGGAAGTGAAGACCCTGCTTTCCCCTTCATCCCCTGTGACCTCTCAGGGCAGGCGAGTAGCCTGCCACCTACCTAGGGCATGGTCTGGGACCGGGAATGGGGAAGTGGGTGTGGGGCAGGACTCAGCAGGTGAGCCTGGCTTGGCCAGGTTCCGCTCAGAACACAGATGCTGTGAAGTGGTTAGAATTCCAGGCCCTCACCCTGGAGTCCTCGGGGGTGGGGCCAGCGAGCAGACCTAGGCCCTGTGGATTGAGGATTTCAGAGCCCCAGGCCTCCTCCTTTTGGAGACTTTCTGGCATTGAAGGGTCTTAGCTCCCTAAACCACACTAAGATGGAAGGCTCCTTGAAGTTGTGGGACGAGCACTTTAGAGAAAGGGAGGAGCGCCTATGACTTGGCCAAGACTTGTTGTATGGCCCCCAGCAAGTCTTGACTTGTGTCCGAGCCACAGTTTCTCTTTCCCACACCAAAGATATGTGGCTTTCCTGACTTTTCATGATTCTTGGGTCCGATCTGAGAATGAGAGGAGCGCCTGGCAGCCCTGTAACTATAGAACAGAGGGCAGTGGAGTGGGTTGGGGGTCAGGAGAGCCATAAGGCCCTGGGGGAGGCCAACAGACACACTGGTCTGGAGTCACCAGGTGGGACTACAGTAGCCCCTGGCAGGACCAGATGCAGCTCTGGAAATCCAGGCCAGCTCCAGGCTTAGGCCTGTGGAGCTTGACATGGGGTAAGGCCGCCCCCTGGTGGCCAACAGGTGTCTCGCAGGCCAGCTGTGCCGGGGAATCAGGCAGCCTGGTCCTGGCTAAGAAGGACTGGACTCCAATCCTCCTGTAGCCTCCAGAGGTGTCAAGGGTTGGAAGCTGCCAGGCTACAGCCCAGACTTCAACCTCTTGGGAAACCCTAGGCCTAGGTCTGGATATTGGGACTCTTCCTGCGACTCAGTGCTACTCCTGGTCAGCTCCCACCTGAGCTTCACTCTGATGCTCATGGGATACACCACCAATCTGCTTGAGCCTACTTTGCAGCCAGTGTCGGGGTCAGCTCCCCCAGCTGCTGCTGCCCTGAGACCTGAACTGTGGGGGTCCTGCCTGCTACCTCCTTCCATGTCTCCTTATTCACAACAGGGTGGAACACAGGCCTGGTGTCCAGCAGGGCCAGGCCCTACTTGTCACCCACCCACTCCAGCCCCACTTCCTGTGCCTCGGCCCTCAGTGGGGCAGCTGCCTCTGTGGGCCTTGGTTTTCCTCCTGCACAGCTGCTGTGTGCAGGCTGCCACACCCCTTTCTGTCTTGTCTCTCCTCCCGTTTTGCTGTCTGCCTCTGTCTCCCTTTCCCTGCCACATGCGCCTGGCCTCAGGCTGAAGCACAGGCTTCCCAGGGCAGGACAATTTTCCATCCACCTCCTTGGCTGCAGCTGCAGACTTTACCCCGTCTCCCCTCCTTCTTCCCGGGGGAGCAAGGCAGGAGTGTGACCATATCTAGGTGACTTGGGGGCTCGAAGGAAGAGTCTGGAGAAGGAAGCCTGCAGAGGTGGCAGGTGGCTGCCAGCAGAGTGCCACTAGGGTCTCCGGGCCCAGCCTTTGAGGAGGGCAGCCGGGCAGAATTCTCAGGTTGATACTTGTGTCTGCATGGTCTCTGAGTCAGTTTTTTAGTGGGACTTCTGGGAGAATCCTATGAAATAACCAACTAAAGGGCCCCCCAAGGGTTTGCCTCATAGTAGATGCCCAATAAATGGTGCATTATACTATTATTAACATTAACTCCTCCTACCCTTTCAAGCCTCCGCCATATTGTGGGCACAGGAGCAATTTTCATTTGGGGCAGTGAAGGCAAGTTTAGTCTGTCTCTGTGTTTCTTTTTCCATCCAGCGGTAATTAGTATATTTGCCTCTTATTAACTTACGTAGCTGACAGAGCTAGGGGCTTACATTTTCTCACCGAACCTTCACAGGCCCCTTATGAAGCAGATAATATTGTCTCCCCAAATTACAGATGAGGAAACAGGCTCACAGAGGTTAAACCATATGCTCAAGGTCATAAAGCCGTTAAGTGTGATACCCAAGCTCTAAGCCCTGGTCTGTCTGACTCTACTGTGCTTTGTCTGTACCTCCATCTCTGACCCAGTCTGTCCCCCAACCCAATACCACACCCTCTGTCCAACACACACTGGAATAAGTCCTGGCCCTCGTTACCCGGCATGCTCAGGGCCCCCCTGATACAGGGGCACTCAACCCACCTGTGGTGGTAGCCGGCCCAGGCTGTGCTCTTCTCTGACGGGCAGTCTGTGTTGCCGGCTTCCAGCCTCCTGTCTCCGCACACTTGATGCTGTTTCTATTTTTTGATTTGAGTTTAATTATAAAGCATGCTGTCTGCTCTCCCCTTCCGGCCTCCCCCTGCCACTCCCAGCTTGTTGACTGGTGCCGTGGCATGGTCAGTGCCAAGTCCAACCAGGCACTTTCCCCTCCAGGCTCAGGCCTCAATCCTCGCCCTGATGGTCATAGAGGCAGCTCCCAGGGGCTGCCTCTGTGTGTGTGTGTGTGTGTACATGCACACGCATGCTGACTACTTGGGCAAAAAGAGGAAAGATCAACTACACCATCTGAAAAGCTCCCCTGGCCATCAAGAATGGTCTGCAGCAAGGACTCGAAGTTTGAGCTGGAAGGAGGGCAGCTCCATGCACAGCAGCAATGCGCTGCTCAAGAAGAGCTGGGTTTCTGCCCAGCAGGTAGCCTGGTGGTAAAGGGAGCTGGACCCCACGTGGCTGACCGCAGTTTGAAAACCATGCTGGGCACATGTGGGCGCATGCTCCAAATCCTGATGGGATGGCAGATTGCGGAAGGGACTACCGAGTCACCATGCCCCACTGAGGGGTGCTTCTGTGCTCTCAAGAGCTCTCTCTCTCTCTCCCTCTCTCATAAGCACACAAGCCCTCTGACAATAAAATAAATCACAAATAAATAAAGGGAGCTGGATCCCACATGGCAATCATGGTTCGAGTCCTTGGTCTGATCAGCCCGAAACATGTCGGGCTCATGCACAGGTTGCCCACGGTCTGACGGGCTGGAGGACTGAAGGGGATTGCCGTGTGACCAGACCTTGTGACCACTGGGGTGCTCATCTCCCTCTTCCTCTCCCTCACACACACACTCCTCATGTGCACGTGCATGTGCTCTCACAAATAGATAAATAAGCTGGAAGGACCATGTGTGGAGAACAGGGAAGAAACTGGCCAAACTCATACACAAATCTGGCAACATCAGAACCCAGGTTCAGGGGCCCTTTGCTGGGGGCTGAGGAAGACAGGATTGGCCCTGGATTAAGATCTAGAAGACTGGGGCCAGCAGGTGGCACGATTCATGTCCCACACCTGGTGGCTTGCTTTCTCACTTTCCCCCTCTTTCTGGTGAGCACATGTGCCCTGTGTAAAAAGAAGTAAGAATGATGATAAATAGAATTGAATAAATAATCCTTCAAAAAAAATTATTGGGACCAGCAGATGGCATTATAGATAGGTCGCTGGACTCCCATGTGGTCGACCATGGTTCAAGTCCTGGACCAGGCAGCTTAAAACTCACGTCAGGTGCATGTGTGTACATGCCTAAAATCCCGAGAGGAGAATGGAAGAGAAGGGATTACACTGTGGCCATCTTCCCTGGGGGGACGATTTCTCACTTTCTGTCTCTCCGTCTCTGTCTCTCTGGTGAGCACCACACCTTATAGCAAAAATCTCTTTCTTAAAAGAAAATGATCTGGAAGACTTAGGGAGAGAGAGAGATGTAGGCAGGCAGGCAGGCAAACAAAGGCCATAGCAGGTCTTTAGAAGGCCCAGACATTGCAAAGCTCCTCTCTCCCCACAAAGATTGGGATGTCCAAGAGTATCCCTGGTCGAGGCCACATTGTCCCATGAGGCCAGTGAGCTGGTTGTTAGAGTCCCTCAAAGCTATCAGAGACCTTGGATTTGGACCTATTAAGAACCCTCCCAAGACCAGCAGATGGAGTAATGGTTATGCTGCTGGACTCCCACACAGTCAACCACGGTTTGAGTCCCAGACCCGGCGGCAGCTTGAAACTCATGCCAGGTGCATCTGGGTGCCCAAAATCCCGAGAGGAGACTGAAAGAGAAGGGATTGCAGCGTGGCGATCCCCCCAAAGGGGTGATTTCTCACATTCTGTTTCTCTGTCTCTCTCAGGAACACATGTGCCCTATAGCAAAAATCTCTTAAAACAAAACAAAACAAAACAAAACCCTCTTTGCTATGCAGAGACCCTGTCACAGCCATACCTTGGTATTCCTCCTACTTCCTTTCCCAGATAATGGACACACACATTAGTGCCTCCAGGGAGCCTGCGGGCCTCTCTGAGCCATGGGGGTAAGTGGGGGAGGTAGCTGTGGCCAGGGCTAGTGCGAACATTTATTAGTAGAATCCCTTTAATATCTTCCCCCTTCCCTTCCATGTCTGGAGGACTTGGGGTCCCTGGCCAAGGAGCCTCATGGCCACTCCCACCTGTGGAGACTGAAGGCAGTGGCCGAAAGGAGGGGCAGGCGACAGGAGAAAGCAGATGAAGTAGCGGGCTTCGGGGTGGACCCCACGCTGGGCTCTTCTCATCTTCTGGGCATCTACCTGGGCCAGAGCCTCCAGCAGCACCAGCAGGGCCAGTGCCCGGGTGGCAAAGTAGCACAGCCCCGTAGCCAGGAGGGACCAGCTCTGGGAGAGAGAGGAGCTGTGTCACTCACAGCCTTGTGGAGGCCGGGGCGAGGGCTATCACCTACACCTGCTTCTGCCTTGAGCCCTGTGAGTAAGGTCAGGTGGGTGCATGGGACTGTCCAGTCTGGCTATGAGGCTGCCTGGTAGGGTCCTGGGGAGGCCCCAGGCGTTTGGTTGAGGAAGGGAGGTCAGTGCCAGGACCAGGTGGGAAGGTCTCACCTCTTATACTTTATGCTGCTCAGACCCTTCCTTCCCTGTTTTTTTCCTTCTCTCTGAGGCCTTAAGAATCTGGGTGGGGGGGTCTGGCAGGTGGTATCGTGGTTAAAGTGTTGGACTCCCACATGTTCAAATACAGTTCTGTTCCTATTTGGCTTGCTTTCTCACTTTCCCTCTCTCTCCATGTCTGTCTCTCTGGTCAAATTTAAAATAATAATAATAATAATAATAGTGGCCAGCAGGTGGCATGGTGGTTGAGGTGCTGGACTCCCACATGGCCCACTGTGGATTGAGTAATGAACCTGGTAGCTTGCTTTCTCACTTTCTCTCTCTGTCTCTTTCTGGTGAGTGCATGTGCCCTGCAGCAAATTTAAAAATAATAAATAAAATGAATTCTTTAAAAAAAATTAAATTAAATAATTCTTTACAAAAAAATCTGAATGGGATGGGGAGACAGGAGGTGGGAGTCCTATAGGAAGACTGTCTAAGTGGGGCCCTGGTGGGACCTTAGGTGGGTGAGGGTGCTCCCAGCAACCTGGCCCTGTCAACCAGCCTGGAACATCCCCTGGGCCCTGGCCTGGCCCTTCACTTCCAGCACCTACTGGCCTCTCACAAAGTGTGCTTGCCTGATTTCTCACTGCCAACTGCACCCAGCTCTGTCCCCGTGCCCCCTCACGTCCCACCTAGCTCTCACCTGGCCCCTCAGTTCCGGCCTGCACCTCGCAGTTGCTGATCCAGCTGGCAGAGCTGGTGGAGGAAGCCTCGGTTGGGGAAGACCCATCGGTGCTGCCTCACGGTGATCACCGCCTGGCGCAGAGACAGCTGCTGGTGCAGCATGAGGTAGGCCAGGACCAGTGTGGCTGAGCGGCTCACGCCCACCACACAGTGCACCAGGACCTTGGCTGAGGAAGACGTCCTGGTGAGAGAGCCTTTCCCACCAGCTGGCCCACCCAGCTCCTTTCCTTGAGACCCTGGGCAAGTCAGTCAGCCTTTATGGGCTTCTTTGTCCTGATCTGTCACATGGTTAGGCCAGCACGTGCTTTGCCTACCCTTGGGACGAGTGACCTACAGGACCCTCCGGAAACTGGCTCCTGCTGACCTCGCAGCTTCCTCTGACTGTCCCTCCCCAACCCTCCGCTCTAGGAATGCAGCTCTGAAGGTCACTTTCAGTTCCTCGAAGCTGTCATGGTCTCTGCCCTCCAGCCTCACCACGTGCTATCCCAGCTACTGGCAAAGATGTCCCCTGGTTTTGGTCTGACTAACTTCTACTCATCGGGCAGGTTTTGGCTGAGCCACGGCTTCCTCCTGGAGGCTTGCCCGATCACGCAAGGTGTCGCTTGAATCACAGAACAGCTCGTTTCTGCATGTGGCCCAGCGAGTACTGTTGCAGAGACGTCCCCACATGCCTGAACCTGTGGACTGACGCCTGCCCTGTGCTCCCACAGCTCTTCACATGTGCCCGCTCACTGAGCAGTACTCTTTTTTCTAGTTGAACATGTTTATTATACTAGTTTAAAGCCCTCGTTGATCATAACATCATTGTCATCATTTGGAGTGGTGTTTCTGTTGAATAACTTTTTTTCTTTTTCTTTTTTCCTTTTGCTATAGGGCATGTGCACTTGCCAGAGAGAGACAGAGAGAGATAAAGAGAAGGAAACTGAGAAATCCCCCCGCCAAGGTGGCGATGGCCACGCAGTAGTTCCTTCTCTTTCATTCTTTTCTTGGGGTATTCTGGGCAAACCCCAGTGTGTTTTTCAAGCCACCAGGTAGGGGACTAGAACAACACTGTCAGCCATGTGAGACAGCCACCTTCATCTCTGTGCTACCTGCTGGCCCTGAGTAGTACTCTTTTTTTTTTCTCTTAAAAGAATTATTTTTATTATTTATTTATTTTAATTTGACCAAAGAGGGACAGAGAGAGAGAGAAAGTGAGAAAGCAAGCCGCCAGGTCCGGGTCTTGAACCGTGATCGATCATGTGGGAGTCCAGCGCCCTTAACCACCACACCACCTGCCAGCCCCCCAAGTAGTACTCTTAATACTTCACAATGTGACTGTCTTCTCACCCTTCGTTTAAGGTCGATTAATCCCCACGGATGAGGACGGGATGCCTTGTTTCATTCTGGGGTCCCAGTACTTGGCTCAGTGGTCGGTACATTCCAGACACTTGATAGATAGCTGGTGAATGCACAGATAAGAACAAAGGAAGTCTAAGTGCATAGTTAAAGACTGGCCTGAGGGCCAGTAGGTGGCATGATGAAGGCACTAGATCCCACATGGCTGACTTTACTGTTTAAGACCTGGCAGCTCGAAAAACATGCCAGGCACGTGTGCACATGTGCCCAAAACCCCAAGAGGAGAATGGAGAAGGGATTGCGGGGAGTATGTGTGTGTGCGTGTGTGTGGGGGGACACGGTGGTTCTCACTTTCCTGCTTTCTCTCTGTCTCTAGGGGGTGCATGTGCCCTTTGGCAAAAATCTAGGGGGGGAGGAGTGACACCAGCTGTAATCTTGTAGTTCCCATTAGATGTCGCCCCACTCCTAGATGCAAGAACTGACTACGGGAGAGGGACATGGCTTGCCGGGAGTCCCGTAGCAAGGGCAGGGCTATGGCGAACACAAAGCCGGGCTCCAGCGTCCCTACACTCCTTAGCTGTACTTGGGGGTATTCGAAGATTTTTTCCATTTGAAAGTACTTTGGGCAGACATCTAGGTACCATCCAGTGACTTCCCAAACCTGTGTGTTCCAGAGAGAGAACTGCTCTGCTGTCTGGGAGACTTGGCTTCAACCTCAGGACTGCTTCTGACTCATGGCATGACCTTGTATTCTAGGACTCAGTTCCCCCCTTGCATGAAGTTATGGGGTTACATAAAATGCTGGAGGATGGAGCAGACAGTTTTTTAAAACCAGGGATCGGAAGGCACTGATGATTTGAGGGGAAGCATGGCATCCTCCCCAGGAATGAACAGGATGAGATATGGGCTCGGACCCCAAGTCCTACCCCCCGGTGTGCTGAGGGCGCGGTGGATGAAGTCGGCTGCGGAGGAGAAGTAGGCGCTGATGTCGAAATCAGGGAGGTCGTGGGCTGGCACCCCCAGGTAGCTCACGCTGCTGCCATAGAAGTCAGGGCCGCCCTGGCAGTAGAGGCCCCCATGGGCGGCGTTCAGCACATGGGTGATGCCCAGCTTCCACAGCTCAAAGCGGTTATTTGCGGTGGCCCTGGGGAGGGCAAGAAGGAGGCTGGATGTGGCTGCACTATGGGTTCAAGAAGGAGCCTTTGCCTGGCCCCCGGCCTCAAAGGGATGAAGCCATTAAGTTCCAAGGGGAGCTAGAACCCAGCAGGTCTGCAGCCCATAGCCCCCGCCCCCCCTCCTCTGAGCTTTCGGCAGGGAGAGCGGGGAGCAAGCTGTACAGAGAGGGATCTTTAGACCTGCTTTGCCTCCCCAGGCCTTGGCCAGGACAGGAAGAAAGAGGTTGATTCAACCCTGGGATCCAGTTGCCCCTCCCCTCTTGCCCCATATCCGTCCTCTCATGCTCATGCTCATCCGGCTGTCTTGGCCACCCCCAGACCTTCTAATGTGCAAATGTTTAGGGGTGACACCTTCCCTGATTCACCTTTAGTCAGGCTTCTCCACCCACTCTGTGCCCAGAGTGGGGAGGCAGGGACCAGAAAGATGGACTCTCCGTCTACTCTACGTCTTACCCCAAGGACCAGCCCCAGGCCTCTCTGCCCCTGAGACTCGCGGATGGTCCTGATACGCCAGGAGATTCCTGGGACCGCTGAGCTCAGCTCAGGTCTTTCAGGCACGCAAACCCACTGCTCCCCCTGGTGGTCGTGCCTGGTTAGTGCAGGGCCTGGCGCGCGCGGGTCCTGGAGGAAATCCCCGGCCTGGAATGCTCAGAACCGAACTGTTTCTTCTTCTCCCCTACCCCGGTGTCTGGTAGAGAATCCATCCAAGAACGGCCTCTTTTTGCCCTCACCCCCCACACCCCTCTGCCAGCTCCGACTCACGCATCTCCTATGAAAAGGTTGGGCCAAACTTCGTCCACGCGGTTGCAGGACGAGACCTTCCCCGCCCTCAAGAGCTCCTCCAGCTCCAGGACACTGGGGCAGGGCGTGGCTTCCGCGGCTCCGCTCAGCTCTGTGAGTGAGGCCTCAGCCATGGGCCACCCCTCTGCCTCTGCGCTCTCTGCTCACTGTCTGTCCAGTGTCACGTCTCCTTCCTGGAGATTGGCAGGGGCAGGTGGGTCAGGAGCCAGTGACTCAGCAAGTCACAGGGGCCTCCAGAGAGGGCAGGACCTTTTCCTTTCCAAGCCTTTCCCTGTCCCCATCCCCAGCTTCCTGAGAACATGAAATCTGACCTCTGCTTGTCACTCTACTCCCGACTTGTTTCTCCATCTGTGGAATAAGAAAAATCGCACTTACCTCAAAGAACTGAAAGGATGCAATGAAACCGAGGACATACTGTGTCCAACACATAGTGGGTGCTTAGAAACGTCCCTTCAATGGCTAGGCTTGGGGCTCTGCATAGGCTGTCTGGTTCTGGGGACGGAATTAAAGTAGAGATTCAGGTAACTGCTCCAAGCACGAATGGGCAGGAGTCAGGTGTCTGTTGGATGAACCTCTGGGCTTTGGATCTCAGGAGCAGTTTTTTGAGTTGCTGAGTCAGGGAAATGTGGGGAAAGAGACACACAGGACTGCATCTAAACGGTGCCCATAAGGTTCCTGGGAGGCGGGAGGGGAGAGTTTGAACAATGGTCCTGGGTGGAAGATGACTGATTTCTCAAAAGGGACGTCTGAACGGGGCCTTGCCATGGCCAAGTGGGAAAGGAGAGGTGCATGCTGCTCTGGACAAGCCTTTTGAAGATGAGAGGGAGGTTCCTGTGCCTATAAAGGCTTTTGGCCCCAGGATAGAAACTGAGAATGGTGGATATGTTTTTCAGTCCCAGCTGGTTATCCGCAAGAGATGAAATGTCTTTTCCTCTCTGATGGGACTTCCAGGAGGCTCTGAGGGGTGGGGAAGGGTATGAATCACAGTAAGAAGGTTCCCAGCTGCTCTGGACCTTGCATCTGGCTTGAGAGGAAAGGCCACACAGGACACCCCCTGACAGCAGTCTGCAGTCATGTCTACCTCAAAAACTGCACGCACCCAAGTAAGAGCCACTGAAGCTGATCTTGCACCGGGTGGGGAGCAAGGGGAAGGAGGGGCTAGAGCCCAGGTTGTAGCTGGCTTTGAACTTGGTGTAGGCCAGTGCTGGCTCCGGGTTGGTCAGGAGCCTTCCCTCAGGGCGGGGTAGTATGGTGGAGTGAGAGCAAAGAACGTAGCTTCTGATGTTAGACAGAGTGGGCTTGGAATGCTAGGCTGGATACAGAACTGCCATACGTCAGGCAATGTGTTTCTTGGCCTGCGTTGTGTGGTCTACCCTGCAGAGTGAGCGTAAGGATTAACTGAGCTATTCATAAAGCATTTAGTGTAGCCACTGTCATAGAGTAAAGGTTACCGATCACGGGCTTGGCTCTTGGAGAGGAGCTGGCGCCCTTCGGAGGAATCAGGATAACCTCCGCCTAGGCACTAACCCCATTTACTAAGCCCATAGGTCCCAACCCATCTCCACCAGCATCTTTCCCTTCCTTCGCGCTCGGACTCCGTCTGACGCATGCGCCCTCACACCCTCCCCTACAGTTTCCCTTCTCGGTTCCCTTCTCCGGGTGATCTGGAGCCCCGCGTTCCTTCCGGTTTGGGCCCCGCCCCTCCGCCGGTAGAGCCCC